ATCTGACCTAGTATCAGGTTTGATATAAGCTTACAGAACTTTAAAAAGCCTTCAGATGTATTTGCTCACCACAACTAGAAAGAAAACGTTCCGAAGGATATTTAGTTATAAATTTGGCTGTAGAAAGAAAACTTTGAGCGATTTTCTTGCTTCGAGGAGTTCACCTTCACGTCACCTTCGAAAACAGTAAACACCGCGCTGGGAAGCCGGCTAAGACATAAACTTAAGCTTTACGCTTAAAGACTCAGGATTTTTAGAGACACTTTAATACTTGTCTTCGTGAATGAAAATTGTTGTCTCTGTAAATGTTTCATGGAATTATATCTCTTTTTTTGATTGTTAGTAGTCTCTCTTGCAATTTCAATCGCTTGTCCGTGCCGTTTGTTTTCATCGTTCATGACCATCGCTTGCAGGAGTACTCAAAAATGTCGCGCGTATCGAACGCTTTATAAGATTACACATCGTTATAACTGAAACCATTAAATAACAAAACAAATAATAATAAATTCGCTATTATGTTGAAGCGTAACTCTGTTAAAGTTCATTCAAACACTCGACCACACTGACAGCTCGCACTATAGAAACGAGAACCAGCTGGCCGTATGGGTGATTTTGGAAATTTTCTGAAATTTTTGAACGGTTTGGCTCGTCCTGAATATTGACTGAGTGCAATTTGTCTTGAAAAATTGTGAAATACCGCATTCTGTCCGAGCTCTGTATGATAAATAGTACTGTTTCACCTCAAATGTGGTGTATAAAAATTATAAAAGGTTGGTTTAAACACCCCCAGATTTGTTGGCAAGAATTTGTAAAGTAAACCTGTCGAACGGAAAAAAATTTGGCGTGATTTGTTTTCCAAGAATTTGTTTTCGAGGCCTAATCTACTGTGATCTTGAATGTGATCGAAGATGTTTGCTATTTTTTGGGTGTACATATAAGGTTATCAACTCGATGTAAGATGTTTCACTCTAAAATAACTTAGCCTTTCCCTCAAAATTCACATGAATGTGCCCTTAAGTTAAATGATTTGTGGATTAAAAGTTTATTGTTTGATTTAAATTATAAATTTATTAAAATTGGAGCTTCGCTTTTAGCCCTGGCTAAATCTATATACTACATGTCGCAGAGTCCCAGTCAAGTTAGGCATAGGCCAAGCGTCGAACTTTTCATGAGACGAACCAAACTCTAATATGGGTCAACCAAGATTATATTAATTTAAGAGCGTCTGTTGGGTCAGACGTCGACCTTAGGACGGTTCGAACCAATCAACTGAATCAGTGGAACGAGGCTAAATACGCATTATCATACAATTTGTTAATTCAAAAGTTTAGTTCGTCGCATGTGAAGATCGACGTTTTTCCTAGGAACTCTAAACTTACTAAGTTTGGTTCGTCTCATGAAAAGTTTGACGATTGGCGTAAGCCTTAGTAAGGTCGAATCTACTGCATGGTGCGATCACTATTGTACTGATTATCGTGTGGCTTAGTAGGTTGCAGTGTAGTTTTAAAGTACCTGGGTAGCGTGACGGGCCGTCTGGATCACTTGGACAACCATCAGGACATGAACAAATACTGGTCACTAAAAATCTCTACAAATAAATAAGTCAAAAATAGACTTGAGTGCCAACAGGACGCTTATGGCACCGTCGACGCTCATCTGTATTTGAGTTTTGACATGTCTTCAATACGTCCTTGCCTTACCGGCCCGAACCTGTCGATTGTTTACTTGTTTGTTCATTTAATGTTTCCAATCTTCAAAACCGAGAGTGAACGTAGGCTAATTATGAGGTATGATCAGCTTTAATATTGCACAAAGCAAACCGCTTAACTCGAGGGATTTAAAAAGGCTAAGAATAACGCTACGTAACACTGACTACAATAAGAATGGGTCTGTTCCCCATGTTAAACTTTAGTGGTGTCTTGTGCGTAGGATAGTGCGGTGTAGTCGTTTCTTTAATACACTCCATTCATCCCTCCACACAAGTAAAACCTAAAACTGATCTACTTTCCTGAGTCATTTTTGTAAAGAGAGGCTTCCACCATAGTCAGTGTAGAAAAGTAGTGTGTAGTTTAAAATTTACATTTAATTTAATAGCTATGTACCAGTTTCACTTACCCAAATGCCTTCCGTATCACTGATAAAATCGAAAATTGCTTCCTTGGGTGTTTTCTTTGATGGTTTTCTTTGATGGATCGCACTTGAGGTCGACTATAACTTTTCGATGCGGAAAAGACCTTTAAATACACAGACATATTAGGTAACATAAAAATTAATGTCCTGTTTCGCGAACAGGCGAGATGAGGCTAATCCCCTGTTCTAATTGAAAGCTCGAGTGCCCAAGATCGGCAAATCTTGCCCATTCCTATAACTGCTCTCTTTGGCCATGCAGGAAAAGCGTCCTTCCTATGGTCCGGTTTATTGAGCTTGTTCGTTAAGATTGTAGGAAGGTCTCGTTCGTTTTCATTCCCCAGCCGTTTTTAATATCCTTGACTTTTTCTCGGACCAAAAAGGCGAACATGGCGCGAGAAACCCTCGCGCGAAATGCCCCTTGGCTTCGCTTGGCTTATAAAGCGCCTTTCATGGCCAATATCCAGCCATCTTGACCTCACACTTTGTAAATAACGCATATATCACATTTATCATCATGTATAAGACGTAGTTACACTCAACTTGTGCGAGTTCAACTAAAATGATTATTAAGACAAACGGCTCCACATTTAATGGGGTGTCAAAAGGAATACTTGAAACAAAGTTTGTGGCCGAGGATAACTGAACCTAACAAATCAGAAATAGGCCTGGGTTTAATCTAAGAAAAAGAAAGAAACACAACAACTTACTCTTTATTGGTATAGACAAGCTGTGGTGTGTTTGTCTCTTTATTGAAATCATAGTGGAATGAGCTTTGCGTACCAATCAATTGACACCCTGCTTTCTTGACATTACCCATGCAAACCTGATTAGGAGAAAAGAAAACCATCTTTCAGATTTGCCTGTATTGGTATGATGTATTAGTATGGTGAACGTTCCTCCGTACATTGAACCTTCCTCAAAAATTTAGTTTTATCACATAAGTCAATTAAGTCAATTTATCACTGTCAAGGGAATGAAAAGCTAGAATTTTAAGCGCTAGCCCTTTTTTAAAGAGTAAAATGGACTATGCTCTATACTCTTATCGACCATTACAAATAACGTCAACATGGTCAAACCTCAAGCGGAACCACGAGACCTGGGCAATGTTTTCAATACAAAGTTTTCTGTTACTATAGTAAGTTAAACAACTTACAGCCACATCTCCGAAACAGTCACTTGTTTGTTTCGTCCCTTGAGAGAATGGTCTACAGGGATTATAAGTATAGTTCGTATCACCTGAAACCACCCAGAACCTGTTGGACAAATGCAAGTGATGCATGTTGGTATAGCGAAATACCGTAGATCAAAATGGTAGGGGCACAACTAACTTAAATGTGAAGAGAACATCTTCCACTCATTTTTCACATGTCAGTTTCCCAGTATGATTTTTACTTTAAGCAACAAAGTATAAAGTTTTAATTATGCTCATTCTTGACCTTGGTGTTTAATATTATAATACCTCTGATCTCGAGGTCCCGTGAATTATTACTGAAGCACTGAAACTTTCGACCGTTTATACGTCTCAAAGACTAAGTGCTGTCATGAGAATTATGTGTAATTTTCCAAAACAGCACAATGTGCTCTATCTATTTTTATTTCGGTCCACTTTCCTGTTTTCTATCTCTAATCGTAGACACTTCCTGACTGTTTGAGTGTTCTAGTATCAGTGGTAAATAAACAGTAAGATCATGCTAATCTTTGTTGATTGCAGTTGGCCCAACTTTGCACATTGGATTTTCTATTCTTATCAGTATACAATGCCTGAATTAATACCCCGGCTTTGCGTCCTTTCTTTCGAGAGCTGCTAGGTTATAGATTTTACCGTCGAGGTCGTAACCAACACAGTCTTTGTCGGCTGGCGCGATAGCGTGTGCGTTTGGTCTTGTCCTGTTACCAGCATTGGCTCCTTTCAACTTACGAAGCGAGGTAAATGCCAAAAGACAGCTCATCAATCTTAAAACAACCCTCATCGTGTGCGGCAACTGCTACAACAAGATTTAGAACTATTAATTACCTGGATGTCTTGCAACTATAACAGAAATGGTTACAATGCATGATAATAACAACCACATAAACATCCACACGATGATACTCTTTTTCATATCTTGCTACGCAATATTACATAAAATAAGCTGCCATCTTAAAGTATTCTTATAGTTCGAAGCTTTTACTAACGCGTTGTTAAAAAATTAAGATGATAGAGTTGGGTTTTGATATCGCTTCTTATTGAGGTTCTCTAAATTAGTACAGTGAAACCTGTATTAAGTGGACACCGTATTAGGCGGACAGTAGCCAAAGTCCCCAAATTTATTTCCCTTATTTTCTTTAAATGAACCCTTTATTAAGCGGACACCTCTATTAAGAGGACGCGGACAACTAAAAAGTACCTGAAATGGTCATTTCTATTGTTGCCAACCGGGATTAAACGGACACTTGTAATTAATTCCACCACCCAACATTCCAGACACCGGAAATGTGAAAGATTGCCTCGAATTGCCACCCACAAATTTTTCGATTTTTACATCAAAAAAACGTGACTGGACGAACTTATTTGATTAGTTTCAAAGTACAGTATTGTTTTCTATTTCGTTTTGTTTGTATAGGGCTCGTTTCACTCATCTGATTTCTTCAAATTTGGGTTGCAATCTATGTTTATGGTACTATGATCAATTGGCCCACTTTGATAAATAACTTAATGCAAACGTATTTAACAATTATTCACCGAAGGCGAAGTTAATATTGTTGAATAATCCCCGAGACGAAGTCGAGGGGATTTTTCAACAATATTAACTGAGCCTGAGGTGAATAATTGTTTTAGTATATTCACACGAAGTGATCTCAATAGAATCAGAAAGGAAACTGTTAAAAAACGATTAGTTTGATTGACGGGTGAATTCATGCGGGAACACGAAGTCGTAAACAGTGGATGCGCAAAAGTTCGATCTTTACAGTATCTTCAAACAGGGCAAATGATAGTTTTAATCTTTTTGTATCGAGTTTTGTAAGCTTTAACATCAACGGTTTCAAACAAAACGCCGAAAATTTAAATTACTACCCAATTCTGAGAAGAAAAGTAGAGCTTTATTTGTTTCTGTCAACTCACCGTAAATGAGAAAGTTTACTTTGTCGCTTCTTGAAAATGCTGTCAACAGCGGCTACGAAGGCTATCAAGGCTATCAAGGTGAGCGTTGTTTATCTCCAAAGTTCTTTGCCTTGTTAACTTGCTGGCACGTACAATTTTCGAAAATATTTGCCTTCCTCTTTTCTCCATAAATTAACTTTTATTTATAGGCAAAATTGGTTTTGCGAGAAAATCCAGAAATCACAAAACAGTGACAAACTGTAAACATAGCTTCGAGCGTACAAAAAGTCAGCTACAGTAAACCACTTCACAATAAATCATACAGTTTAAACACCATGAAGTCTTTTCTTGCCTTCAAAGTCATCAGCACTTGGATTGGATATTCGTGTATTTTCAAAAAGGCTTTACTACGAAACTTTGGCAAACACCCAGTTCACAACAGCGATTTTGTTCTGCTTTATATTCACTGCCTGGCGCAGTTAATATAACGTCATAGTCCGGGATAGCTAACCAATCAGATTGCTTGAATTACCAAGATCACTGAGTGTGTATATACTAATAGCTTATATTACAGATGCGTTCACCAACGTTGAACCGTCAAATAATCCCTCTTCCCGGAATTTATGATGCCGCACACAACGATTCCTTTGTTATGCGACTCATATATATAATTAGCACTTTGTCAAATTCTGGGTCATGTTTGTCTGACAGTATTACCTCTCTAATGGAATAAAATTTATTTTAAAAAATGACTGCGTGAGAAACACGATTATACAGGCGCGTAGCGTCCATACACGCACATACGCCCGTGCGTACAGCTGAAATCTGGAAAATATATATTTTTCATTTCCTGAAAGCATTTTTACCATTAAATCAAGAAGATTGATAATTCTTTCGCATTATATATTGGTGTCTTTACCCATCTGAAGGGTAGACATCTCGCCCTTTGCTTGTCGAACCTCCTTGATAGCGTCACTGTCGTATACCATTTTTACCGTAAACATTACACCTTACCGATTATTACATTTTCCCTCCTATTTAATTAATGAAAATGTCTTGCGGAAAACGCAGGAAATGGCATTTCTGAACCCCTAAATTTGAAACATTTTCTGGGGAGCATGTCCCTATACCTCCCTAGTTTGCAGTTGCGTACACCTTCAAAAGCTCACGCTACGCCCCTGTTATATTGCTTTCTTAAACTATCTACATTGTAAATGCAGCCAGAGGAAAAAAAATTCAAAGTAAATAACATTTGTTCTGTAGTAGCCACCCCGAGAATGAGTCAGATTCACCGTGCTTTGATTTCATGATTACGAGGCGTTACAAGTCGTCACAGAGCGATACAGAGGGGGGACAAATGTTGAGTAGGAGCCGGGGAAAACGCCTGAAACTAATTTATGCACCCCTTGAGCATAAATTGTTCCCTGTACAGAAACCGTCTGTGATGGATTGAAGTTGAACTACTTACTTCAAAAAACCAATATGAATACTTTACTGCAAAACCAACAATTTAAATGGTTTCTAAGTATTCTTGCTACGCAAATATCGAGTGGCTTGAGATCTGCAAACTCTTGCAATTTGTATTTTGTCAACAATGTAGCACTACTTCCGCTTTTGCTTTAAAACTGCAAGAGTTTTGAGTCGAAAAGATGATACCATCAAAATAATGAGATTACGAGGCGTTACAAGTCGTCACAGAGCGATACAGAGCGGAGACAAATGTTGATTAGGAGCCGGGGAAAACCCCTTATAATAAACTAATTTTATGCACCCCTTGAGCATAAATTGTTCGTCTTTTACAGAAACCGTCTGTGATGGATTGAAGTCAAACCACTTACTCCAAAAAACGAATATGAATACTGTACTACAAAACCAACAATTTAAATGGTTTCTAAGTATTCTTGCTAGGCAAATATTGAGTGGCTCGAGATTTGCAGACTCTTGCAAGTATTTTAATCAACAATGTAGCAATACTTCCGCTTTTGCTTTAAAACTGCAAGAGTTTTGAGCGGAAATGATGATGCTTCAAAATGATGAGATTCACCGGTGTAAGTTGAAGGCTTTTATTATATATATATTAAAAAAATAGAGACATGACCTGTCCGCATCTTTTCATTGCTTGCTCGGTAAAAGCCAGGGAAGCTTCGGCTGCTCGAATGCAGGATCGATTGTGATAATTTATCGGTATAAATTGAATTAAGGTAAGTTTAAGTGATGTTAGTTTTTCCTACCTCAGATAGTTTGACAACTGGCTGGCATTAAGCTATGTTCCTTTCACGAAAAGGACCTTTCGTTTTTGTGCGCGTCGCCGTCGAAGCTTTTTTGTCGGGTTTTGTCGCTTTTTGTTATAATCGACTTCCTTGGTCAGTGGTTCAAAAGCGGGCAAAACCAACGTTTCTGATTGGCCACTCCTTAATCGAAAATGAAAGAGTAATCGTCCCAACAGTATGAATTCTTGGAAACCTGATAACACATTTAATGTCCTCGCACTCAAAACAATCCATATCTCTTCAGTGCGAAAAGTTTTGCGGTCATCAGTACAATTTCTGACAGTAAGAGATATTGCTAAAATATAATGTCTTCCTAACAACTACATTGTAATTGAAAATCTAAAATGCAATCACGCGGAACACATTGCCATAGAGCTACTGTTGTTGATAGAAGTGTTACCAAACTTGTTTACTAACGTAGCCAAGAACTTACACTAATATCAATTTCTGATGGTATATATTATTTTTTGTATCCATTAAAGCAATAAAATATGACTGAGTAATATTAGGTTTGCAAGAAAAATGCGTCTGAACAGCTACATAGAAATAAACAGACATCCTGTTTCCTTCGAAACATGAAGAATGACCCGTGAAATAATTAATGTTTCGCAGGAAACAGCACGCATGAAATATAAATCGCATATCCAGGTTGACCAGTTTATCATAGAGAACTTCAATAAATTATGTCAAAAAAAAGAGATCTCTGTAACAGCAGCTTTCGATGACAAATACTGGCAAGCATGTATGTCGTCTGCTACAAGAAAAGATGAATAATTGGATAGACACAATTTCAACGATGTAGTGCTATGTTAGTGTAAATACTCCATCAATTTGCTTTGTTGGACGTTGCACATAAAGTGCAATACAATCGACTTAAAGTTCGCGTAATATCTAATTAAAGACTTTCCTGGAAAAGTGTGTTTTCAGCTAGCTTATTCAACCAGGGACCGCTAGAAAAACAAAGACCAATTAAAAACCTCAAACCAAATACCCTCTCCTCCCTAAAACATCTGTGAAGAAGAAGATATGAATGGGTGCCTTGCCTTCAATTCAGATGCTTCCGTGGCCCTAACTGTTTACTGGGGCTAGACTCATATTATGTGGGTGGAAGTACAAGACACTCGGATAGCGTGACAGCGGAAAGTAAAAGATGGCAAGCGAAAGCCTTACAAAAATTCAGGGTTATATACAGGGTCTGGAGAATAAGAAGAAAAGTTAAGCGGGTGGCACTGACCACGAGAGACCGGGTCAGCTGCAACGTATCCAAATCATATTAATTTGGATAATCAAAAAGATAACAACTTTAAATGTATTGTTTTGCAAGATGAAACTAGCACTAAATACACAACTTGTGAAGTAGAAAACTAGCGAGCGGATTACATATGGCAAACCTATTCAAATAAGGCCAATGTCTTTTGAACTATTTACAAGCTTTGAAAAAAGCGCCCCTCCTCTCCTTTTCATTAAAATATTATGTATTTGCGTTAACCTTGACAGCGATGCCTAAGGATAGCGTTACAGTGTAGTTCTTAAACAGGAAGTTGTTTACTGTTGATGTAGTTTTGTACAATAAACACTTAAATTTGTTCTTCTTCTCAAGTCATATTCTTTATTTATTTAGTTATGAAATACTACAGTATGTGTTCAACTATTACAGAGGCCACTTCGTAATAAGACCGAACTTCGAAAAAACGTAGTAGACAATTATTGGATGAGGCTTTTGTGATATCTAGAAAAATCACGGTCGAGGTAGGCTGAGGCTGATAAACCTTACTGAGACCTTGATTATTCTGAATATCACAAAAACCGAATATAATAATTGCTTTATTATACATTGAACGAATTCTTTCTTTCTCGCTTCGACATAAAATGTATGTTTTCAAAGTTTGTGCCAACTCTTTCTTTTCTTAAAGTTCTCTCAGTTTTTTCTTTTTCACGTAATCAGCAAACAGCTCCTTTTCCACCTTCGTCGAACTTTCTGTGTTTTGTGAGTCCTTGTCTTCAACTATTTTTTCGATGACGAAGTCAACGAAGCAAACTTGGAAGTCATGTTTTTGCTTCTTCACTGACGGCTAGCAACGCAAAGCGCGCGAACTTGACATGATTACCCTTCGAAATCATGAACCGCGGTCGTACATGACATGATTACTCGTGACCTTGAGTGTCCTTGACATGATTTGTATACACCTAGATGACGTCCCAGGCGCTGATTTCGAAAATTCACTGTACGCTTTCGGCCAATCAGAAAAGAGATAGTGAGTTCAATGTATAATAATACCTAATAATAGAGAAATTTAGAGTGACGTTTACGGCAAACGGCAAACGTGAATGTGTATAATGTGACCAAGTTTTCCCTTCACTTGTCTTTTACTGTTCATTACTTCTACACAAAAATAAGTAATTTCATGGCATTTTTATCCATGAAAATTGTTTTAAACTGTTTTTTATGTGCTTATTTTCTACACCTGTTTTTCTTTATTGAGGAATTCTCCCAACTTGAAATTGCCGTAAACTGTGACTCTAAATCTCTGGGCTTATAGTATCAAATCAGCGCTGGCTTCAAAAGTAAATAGGGAGTTTACACCGTATCACAACGACGACAGCAGTAACACTAACTGCGTGTATTAGCAATCTTTCAAACTAGAGTTAAATTGTCAGGTAACAAGAAAAAAGTAAATTTAAATCGTATGTTCATGTCAGTATATAATTGAATTACGCAAAATGTACACGCAAACATTTCCCTCAAACAAACGTGTATGATTAAAAAGAAATTATCAAAAATTCTAAACATTCTAAACAGAGAACAAGAACGTTGCATCAGAACGTTTCACGTCGTAGTCGTGCAGGAACTTGCAGGGACGTCAAAGAACTTAACCAAAAAGTGTATGATGCACGTGTAAAGTTTTGCTAATTAAACCTATTGGCATTTATTTTTGTCATTGCTGCGGTCGGCGACATTGTTTTGCAAACTCCCTAATGTTTATGACAGGTGTGATCGTCTGAACTCCAAAACATAAAGTTACAAATGAGGGCCCGGCAATACTAGCCTGTACACAGACGTTGCTTTATTTTTCTTTTCGATAATCGGCGAGGGCCAGTGCAAAGCGCGAATTCCCGCTGTTTTTATTTTTATCACGCGCGATAAGTGGACTTCTAAGAGAAAATAGAGGGCCTGTGAACAGGCTAGGCTATTACAGACTCTAGATAACATATACATTGTCATGACTAGCGAAAAACTCGATTTGCGGTCGTTTCCCTGACTCCAAGTTATAAAATGTGCGGGAGAGCCGTGTCTTTACATGATCATGACGTTTTACAGAAATTGGGGCAAACATAACCACTGATAACTAGGGTACCAAGACGTGGAAAGCGAAACGGGGAACGGCAAAATAAAAAAAATAGCAACAAAGCCTGACTTAAACCCTAGCCCTATCAGTAACTTCGTTGGGCACTATTTGTTTTGTCCTCTATGTTTTATAATCATCATTTCTTTCCCGTGCTCGTTCCCCGTTCCCCGTACCTCGTTTTAGAAATATCCCTTCAGACGTCTGGATTCTGGGATCGGTGGTTCTGTTCTCTATTGTTAATTCTGGCACTACTCGAGAAATTACTATAATTACTATTAGCCGCGTTACGATTCTCGGACGAATCGTGAGGCTGAATTGGTAAATCATCGCCTTCAATAATGTGGTTGGCAGCGTAGTCGTTCCTAATATTTTCAGGATTTAAAGCCTGACGTTCGTTGTTGGGATCATTCTGTCTCCTGATACATTGCCAGACTGTCCTTCGGTAGATAAACAAGGGAATGGCAATAACAAGAAATGAAAGGGCAGTAATCACTGGTATAGAGTACTTCGGTTCCCCAGAAGATTCGCCTGAATAAAAAAGGAATGAATATTTGTACACAGTAATTTCCAAGGATTTTTTTTTTTTCTCTAGTGGGGTTAGTTTAACTCCTTAGAGTGGAGTTATTTTGGGGGGGACTTATTTTAACTCCAAAAAGGAGTTTAAAGAACTCTTTTTCAGGAGTAAAAATCACCCCAGATATTGAGGAGTTAAACTAACGCCAATAAAGGAGTTATCCTGTACCTAAAATTTTTACTCCACTTTCAGAGTTAAGTAACTCCAAAAAGAGTAAAAACAACCCATGCAAGGAGTAAAATTAGCCCCATTTTCGGAGTTATTTTAACTCCAGACTGGGGGTTAAAAGAACTCTTTCTCAGGAGTTAAATTAGGAGTTAAAGTAACCCATAAAAGGGGTTATCCTGAACCTAACATTTTTACTCCATTTTTGGAGCTATAATAATTCCCTAAAAATTACTGTGTATCCAATGGAATTTACCTTGTAATCTCGGTTATTTATGCTAAAAGTAAAATGTGCTCAGAGACCAATTAACTGAAGTAGATATGTTGGTCACATTCCTTTCGCTGGGCACATATCTGTGCCTTTTTTGGCGCATTTTTGTATTTAGGAAGATCACAAAGGTCAACCAGATGATGCAACTGATGATGTGTTACGTTACGCCCGGATTTTTTTTGGTGCGGCGTGTGAGTTGATCAGTCGAATACAATTTAAAGACGCGTATAACAACCTAAGTTTTTTTTTAAAGCTAGGCTAAGAAGGTTCTTATAAAAATGGTGCTAAGTGGAAAATTAGGCTACTCAGGTTCTTAAACAGGTTCGTATTTTCTTTTAAAAAAGGTGTTTGTCATTGATGGGTGTGGCCTACTTTGGGCCTATTTTTGGTCTTGCAAGCATAATATGTTATGAAAATCCATTTAATCCAAGCATGTTTATACATTTTACTAACTGGTAGAGCTTGTTTCTTTTAAATTTGTGTATTCAGGGTTTGACCGAATTTCTCAAGATAAGAACCTGTTTCAATATTGTAGACTAGAACAGGTTCTTATGCAAGAGGGGTCTAAATAAACAACCTTAACGTAACTGGTTCTTAAAATCAAGGTTCTTATACGCGGGTCTTTACTGTATAAGTACTTACATACTTGTGCGTGACTGAT